AGTAGTAAATTAAGTAACGTTACGTACCTAACCTACCTACCTACCTACCGGTACGTAGTCGACTACGTACTGACCACTAGTCACCACTATATATATATATATATATATATATATATATACGCCCCATCGTATATTGCATGTTGATGCGCCAACGGCCAGGATTAATTCGCTGAAGATGGACGGCCGCCATTCAAAAGAGAAAACTCACGCTTTTTGCCTTTGAAAATGGAGCCTGCATAGCCCAGCAAACTCCGTCCCAGTATACAGAGATGGCAAGCCTACCTACTGCCTCAAACCCTTCTCATACTCAATTTCTCTCTCTACTAATGCTACCATTCCCTCTCTTTCTCTATACCAGATGACCAATGCTACCACTCCCTCTCTCTCTAAACCAGACGAGTCATCTCTCCCTCATGCCCTCTCTCACTCTAAACCATAGCCGCAACTATTGCTCCCTCTTGCCCTTTCTGTTCTCTCTGCTCCTCTCATACGCAATATCTCTCTCTTTCCATTTTCCTTTCTCGCTCTCACATACTACTGCAAAGAAGCCCTACCAAACTGTCGTCTCTCTCTCTCATCCAGGCTCAGTTGTGCTTCTCCCTCTTTTTGCGCCTTCAGGCAACAACAGAAGGGAAAGCCCTCTCTCGCTTTCTGTCACAGAGATACGAATAACTTGTATTAGATTGTATTAGTACTGTAATTCAAAGTTTTTTGGTTTTAAAACCCTGTGATGGGTTTGTATTTATGGGTTTGCATATGAGAAATTTTAGTTCGTATTAGTACTGTATTTCTGGGTTTTTTGGTTTATTAGCTTTTGATTGGCTTTGTAGAGAAGCTAAAGGACATAATTTTGGACCCAGCATGACACGACATAAAGTATATAAAATATGTAAAATATATACTAAATAACATAAAATAAATTTAGTATATATTTTACATAAAAATTTTGTATATATAAATAACATAAAATAAATGCTCAGAGTCATGTCTAGGTCCAAATGATTTGGACCCGTCTGGGTCTGACCAGACCCAACCAGCTGTCACACCCTAGGCGTCCTGCCTTGCCCACCGACTCTTGCTGAAATGCGAAGCTACCGATACCATGCCATCACCAATAATCCCTACAAGAACACTCCCCCCCTCTAAAATGGTGGAACCTGATCCGATCCCGAACGATGATTTCTCGCCCCTCGACCTTTGAAATGAACTTGGTCGCTGAGTGACAATCCCCACATACTCGTAGGTTCTTCACCACCCTTATTGGCGTGCCTGGCATGCTAGCAATGAGCCCGAAAGCAATTGCGAGCTTCTCACTGTGCACATTGAGCGCATGTTCCTTCTCTTCCTCGCACACGTCATGCAACACCGAGCTAGTGCTTGGGACATAGCCAGCGAGCTTTAGCCGCACATTTAGTTCCTCGAGCTTCTCATAAATGGCCTTGGACAATGGGTGTGATTTATCCCCAATAACGAACTCATGGATCATGCCCTGGATCTCTATAGAACTCGACCCTGGAGTCTTCCTTACCTTAACACCTCTCATCCTCTCTCTAACTTGCTCGACCTCGTCCCACCGAGAACTAGCAGCATATATGTTTGAGAGAAGCACATAATTCCCTGCATTATGAGGCTCGAGCTCGAGAAGTTTAACTATGGCACATTCCGCTATTTCTATATGGCCATGTGTCCTGCAGGCCATAAGTAGCGCACCCCAGATGCCAGCATCTGGGGTCACTGGCATTGAATTCACTAGCTCATGGGCTTCATGGACCTGACCAGCTCGACCTAGGAGATCAACCAAGCACCCATAATGCTCAACTTTGGGCTCAATCATATGCTCATTAACCATGAGCTCAAAGTAGGTCCGACCAGCCTCTAGCAACCCAGTGTGTGTGCACGCGCACAAGACCCCAATGAATGTAATATCATTGGGCTCGAACCCCTGGGCCTGCATTTCAGCAAAGAGATTTAGAGCATCTCTACCTTTGCCATGAGCTGCAAGCCCCGAAATCATTACATTCCATGAAACAACACTTCGTTCATGCATCTCATCAAACACTTGTTTTGCTTGATTAGCACTACCGCACTTTGCGTACATATCTATAAGAGAATTGCACACGAACAAGCCCGGTCCCTTGGGTTTCGGCCACAATCGATCAATGAACCCATGAACCCACCTTCCAACCTCAAGGGCACCCAATTGTCCGCAAGCCGAGAGAACACCAACAAATGTGATTCGATTGGGGGTCACATGCTCCGCTTGCATTAGCCTAAAGAGGGCCAAGGCTAGGGCTGGCTTGCCTTGTTGAGAATAGCAAGAGATCATAGTATTCCATGACACGACCGATCGAGAAGGCATCTGATCAAATAGATCACGAGCTGAACCCACGTCCCCTAGCCTAGCCAAGCCTGCAATCATAGCATTATAAGCCACCACATCTCTGTCAAGCATTTCATCGAACACTTGTCTTGAGTCCACAACACACCCACATTTCCAATACATGTCAAGAATCGAGTTGGAGATATAGGGGTCACGTAACAACCCATACGTTAGGGCTTGTGCGTGGATCGCTTGCCCTAGCGAAAGGGCTGAGAGGGCCGCACAAGCCTTTGCCACAAACGGATACGTGAAATTGTCAGGGGGAAGACTGTTCCGACGCATTGCGGTGTATAAATCGATAGTTTCGAATGGAAGGTTGTTTTGTGCTAGTGCTCGAATTAAAGTGTTGTACAGGCAAATGGTTGGGTTTGATGCATGCTTAAAGGCTAAGATTGCGTGGTTTATGGCCGAGACTGAGGAGCACGCACCCAATATTTTGGCTGCCAAGAAGTTGTTTTGGTGGAGGCCAAGGACGAAGATGCGAGCATGGGCCTCACGAATGTGGTTATGGGTTGAACAGTGATCAAGGAGAGAGAAGAGAGCCTCCTCAATGAGTTTGTTTGGGGACAGAGCGAATGGGGAGTGGAGGGGCGGCCGCATTTGAGTTGGGGTGGAGGGTGGGAACGCTCCCCCATCATGTACAGTTTGGCAGGGCGGTCGACAAGCACAATGCACTAGACCCCATCAAACCTCGAGGCTCAAAGGCACCCTAGAGAGAAAGAGAGAGAACCATTCATTTGCTGTCAAAAGATCATGGAGTTTTAAACTTCTACCCCTTGGTGAGGAAGATCAAGGCAGTACATTACTCATACAAAAGACGAGGCATGTTACCTTTCTCTGTTATGAATCCGGTGCAAGTGGATAGAGAGAGAGAGAGAGAGAGAGAGAGAGAGAGAGAGAGGTAGCGGTATCCCCTTCAAAAAAGAAAGTAGGTTTAATGCAGCCCACATATTTGACATGTCGGTCAATATATTATATCAGCTGCCAAAGCCCTTGGCATAAGTTCACTCTTACCTTAAGCTTATACTTGTCATCCGTACACTGAAATTTTGTGACTGTACATGTCTGTGACTACATGTATATTTGTGTAAACATGGAAAGGCTAACATCTAGCTGAAAAATAAATGACCCAATCACTATACAAGATATTGCCCAGAGAACTCAGACATCATCTGTGATTTTTCCAACTGCTCAAAGCCGAATAACTCCTCGGATCGGAAGCTTTTCAAAAATATCCTACTGAGCTACGGTTTCTGTCATGAGGTTGTCAAAGAGAAGTGAGTTTGGATCCTTGGATGATTTCATAAACAGAGAGTACACATTCCAAACTGATGAGTATTATGATGACCCACTCCAAGAAATCCGATTTCCGGTTTTGAAGTATTTCCTGAAGAAAGTGAATGTTGTGCTGCCAAGGAATGAAAAGCCTGATTAGCTGCCAGTTATTACTATATAATCTCTCTCTCTCTCTCTCTCTCTCTCTCTCTCGCACACACACTAAATTAATCTCGTAACTGTGGAGTGAGCAGTGGCCTAGTGTGTGCATGTGTATCAGTAAAGAGACTGTATATAGGAGTATTCCCTAATTTCTTCGTAACCACAAGTAATAGTACTATTTACATCATATGTAATAACTTAATAATATTTTTTCAATGTGACTTGCAGTGGAATGAGGAACTTACTTCAACGAATTTTAGTTTAAAATCCAGGCTTGCGAAGCGGGGTGCAAGCTCATATTCATCACGCAGGTATTCCCATACCTGCGCATAATTTGCATTTCTCCATGCGATTTCTGATCTGCATCAGTCAAGACAAATAAAGGTTAAATATTCAATAAAATAATGAGAGAGAGAGAGAGAGAGATCCACTTTAACATCCAATATATTTTAATATAGTCCAAGCATATGTTCTATGATCCATAGCCTAATATACAACGGGTGCGGTTTGCATAATAAGCAATAAAAAAGGCGTACCTCCAAATTTTAACATAGGATGCAATTTTGGTGTCAAAAATTCTTAGGATGGCTTGAGAATCTATTTTCATCTCTAATTATAAATTCAAAACTCAAAAAATGGTTCAAACAAATAGATCCATAAACACATGAAAATCTTGAACATGGACAGTCCTCATAACGTGTTGCAAGACGCAATTTTTTTTTGACTGGAAATTTTCTTTTTTTAATTCATTTCCATGCATCTCGATATCGAGATATGATCAATTAGACAGTTTTCCGCATAAAAACAACCTTTTCTAATGGATTTTTGAGGTGCACCTTAATTCTATAGTTTAAGGTTGCAAACTTATATAAACTTTTTCCTATATAAAATGGATGTGCAAAATTCAAATGATTGGACAGAGTAACATGTAGAAAAGATGCCAAATGTTACTCAAAATGTAGATCAGCTTAATATTAAGCCTAGGAAAAAACAATGATCGTAGTTAGGATTGTTTAAGCTAAACCAGCTATGAACCATTAGAAGGAGTAGGAAGAACAAAGCAAACACAGGTTATTGGCAAAAAATATGATAAGAGGTCAAATAGAAGGTAAAAAGGGACCAAAATAAGACCATATAAGATTTATCTACAGTTTTCCCCTTTGAAACCAGCGCCAATCTGAAAATCCCAATGGCATCAAGAGAACCCCAAAAGTGGCTACATATCAACAAAGTGTACATTCTATAGCAAATGCCAATAAGGCCTATATATGGAAATAGCTAAAGTGTGCAGCCTAGTTTCGATAAACTAAATGCGCTAACGGCCCAGATTGAATCTGAGCCGATCTGATGATCACGGATGTCCGATAGTGTTTGAATTTTAGTTTTTTTTTCTACAAATCCAAATCACTTGAAATTTTAAGTGTATGTTCTTCTCATCAAAGCGCACCTAATAAAAATATAAAAAAAATTATCCGCAAAAAAATAAGTAACCAAAATACCCCTGAAACTTTACAAGGGTATTTTGGTCAATTATTTTTATGTAAAATATTTTTTAAATATTTTGCGAATATTCACCTATTTTTAATGAACACACGGCTAAAATTTTAACTGATTTGGATTTGTAAAAAACAAATTAAAATTCAAACACTGTCGGACATCCGTGATCGTCAAATCAGCCCAAATGCAATCAGGGCAGTTGGCGCATTTAGCTTATCTAAGCTAGGTTGCGCACCCTATCTTTTTCTTATATGCCTATATATACATATATACACATGCCAATAAGACCTGTATATAGTTAAGAAATTCTATAGAGAAAAAAAGTGCATTCTATTGTCTAAGATGAGATGAATTCAATGAAAAGTTAGGCCTCATTTGGATGTCCTGTTAGCCATATCATAAACTTATCTTTGCCTGCCTTTATGGGCAGTCATGAAAATAGAAACTCTTAAATGGTCATAATGACCTGTAAGTTTTCCTGAGAGTGGGAAGAGAGTTCCTTTTGTTTTGGTCACTATTGGCAGAATTTTGTCAATAAGTGGGATTACATTCCTGGAAATTGTGCCCTCGATAGAGGCGTCAATCCATTCCGGCGCAACCATAAGAAAATTTGTTCCAACATCTAATGTCCAAACGGGGCCTTAATTCTATAAACTGAATACACGATCTTATTTTCTTTTTAATAAGTTTTGAGCATCATAGCATTATGTGGTCATGCGTGTTCTATTCTTCATTGAATTTTGTTTTACTTTATTTGTTTGTCAGATAGGCAAGCTGGCAGTAGAGTTTGTTGTTGTGGTGAGACCCCTATGCTCACCAAAATAAGAGGGCGAACACCAGAGTGGACATGAGTTCTCAAAATGAAAAACCCACAAGCTGGTGCCAAAAGATAGCTAAAATAATCACAAAAAGTAATTACTAAAATATGAGGTTACAGTTTTCGAGATTATTTGGTATCCTGCCTGCTTCTTAGTCGTAAAAAGAAAAGATTTCCAATGCATAATTGGCTTGATGAGCAATAAAATCTGACAAAGTCTGACACCTAGAAAATGAGTACAACAATATGGTCGACAACTCTGCATGCATCACCAGCCATCAAGTTAATTGTAGTCCACTGCTCAAGCATTCATAGAAAAACAGCGGTATATTGCAAACCTAACAACCTTCAGCCTGCATTTGAGACAACTCCTCCTCAATCTTGTATTTTCTCAAGTACCTCGTAAAAAAGAGAAAAAGCCACGACATTAGAGCCCTCTGAATAGCATATCAAAACACTAGAGCCATGTCTAGCTACCAATCATATGTCAAACAATCTCCAAAGCCACAATGCCCTTCCCACATGTCCAAGTAAGAAACACTACATTGTGAAGAGCCACAACTAGGATCAAAATATATTCACCAAACCTCACTATCATTAACTACATACATACCTAGAAACACAACTCTTGGCAGACATCAAGTACATGCCTATTAACCAAACTAACATTCTGAACACATTGTTCCTCTGATTCAAGAGAATGGACTTCCCTGCTAGATGCATTGACTCTTAGGTAAGTTCCGCTCTAAAGGAAATCTGTGGCACTTATCAGAGAAAGATGTAAATCCCAGTATCCCACCTGAACTAGATAAACATGAAAATGTTCTCAAGTGGCCTCGATAAAATTATGACCTTAAAGTAGAATACCATAAAATTCCACGCAACCAGCCTCATATTCACCTGTTCACTCCCCTGTCCTGTAATTGCCCCTTGGAGCACAGACACATAAGAGAAACCAAGGATTTCAGTAGCATTCCCCATCAATCTAGCCACCTTCTCCACTACTTTTGTCCAACTTGAAACCCTTGGCTTTTCTTCTGGACATGTTTACATTCTACTCCAAAAGTTGTGCCAGAGCATTTCAAAATAAATCTTCAAACAAGGGCTTGCTCCCTATATGGTCCTCTAAACTGCAGCACCATCGACATGCTGCAAATGTGGAATGTTACACATTCCAGTTTCAGGAAAGAGGCCTTCAATCCACCCAATTCCACACCTTCAAGGAGGAATATCCCAAGGGAATTTACCATAGTAGTAAAACGGAAGGCAAAAGTGGATGCCCTTGTATGAGACTCTTAGAAACTCTTACAAAACATCTTGGCTAGAATTCAACAACATATGATAACCGTGTACAGAAAATCAACAGGCACCAAAACCAACATCTCAACACACTACTGCCAATTCATATGATCATGGGCTGTTCCCGAATCAATTTTAGGGGATGGCAACAAGTTCGTTGTACTTGAATCCAGGATCACAGTTCATAGGTAAAAAATGTACCATCTAAAATCTTGCTTCCCCCACCAATTCTCACTAACAAAGGGAAATCATCAATGGCATGACCTTCTCAACTATTCTTGATGAAGGCTTTGTGACAAACTTATACAGTCCCCCTGGGCAAACATCCTATTCTTTTTTCTTAATATGCATTTCCGTCTTACAATTGGCCTCTAAGGGCAATATGATCATAATGATTGTATGCAATTTGCATAAATAGACATAAGTTGATCAATTCATTAGCAAAAGGACAGGTCATTTTGTCACCAAATTCTTGGCACAGCCTTTAATTTTTTTCATTTATTAAAAAGACATGTTTTTCTCTATTAGTGCTCCCGAATATACTAAATTGTGGTACCTCAACGGTAGCAATACCTACAAGGCAGTCGTGCAATCAACTATTGCAACCTACTTTCAACAATTAAGATCTATTACTCTCAACCTTACCATTTAAATGATAATCCAAATAATTTTTCAAAAATCCCATTAAACTACAAGTAAACCAAAAATGAGATTCCCAAGGATTATAATAAAAAGATTACCTCTCAAAAAGACCAAGTTTAAGAATTACATCTGCTAAACTAGAATTGCTCCTTCCAACTAATTGAAAGAGCTTTTTCCTTTGCATGGTGAAAGTACCAGTCTTCTCCATACCACGATTTATATCTGTAAATTCATCAACCATATCATCAACCTACAAAAGAGAAGAGGAATTAGTAGAAAATACCTTCGAAAAGACAGAGAAGCAAGCTGAATTCTTTGATACCTGACGAATAAAATAATCAAGAGCAGTACTTTGACCTAGTATGCTTCCAATGATACGAATGCCATCAGCATCGAGGTGTTTAAGGACAATATAATCATGACCCCCTTGCATCCATGTCTCCAACGAAGGCTTTTCAACCACAGCATATTCTATCATTTCAGGACCAGTAACAGTCAGTCACAAATAACAGAGTTCAAACTATGCGATTTTCTTTTGAAAGATACATTTAGTTTCAAATTGCCATGATTGCTGAACTCAATTATCAAACTTCTGGCCAAAATTTGAAAATAAAGATGACCTCCTAGCATGCTGCACTACGATATAGCAATGTGAAAACTTTAGCCTTATATAGGACACATATAATGGACTTAATGGTAAAAACATCAAGACGTCAACTTAACACAGACTCAATAGCCCCAGTATCAAGCTTCAGCCACTACTGGAAGTGCTTCCACCTGGAGATCTAACAATGTGTTGTTTTCCTATCTTTTTTTTAATAGTGAAAACTCTGATCATAGTTACAAAGAAGGAAAACGGGAAGAGGAAAGGATCTGCACCAGTTCCAAATGGGTTTCCCAAGAAATGCAACACACATCCTCATTGTCTTATATGGTACATATCAGGTCTATCAATGGCTCTAAATTTATAACACAAGGTTCTATGTTCACAATGGGTTGGATTGTGATGTTATGTTCATAATATATGGCTCACAACTGCATGACATGCCATCATGTATTGAGTTCCTTTGTTACTTTTCTCCTTTGCATATATAACTCTAATAAAAGAGTTATTTATTGGACAAAATTTCTCTGTGCAAAGTGTACTTGTCTAAGTGTAGTAGTTACACTCTCAAGGGTCAGAGTCACAATAACCTGGTTAAATTTTTTCGATTGATACATATGACCAATGCAGGAACTTCACAATGAATAAATCATATTCAATCTCCAAATCAGTGCAACGGCACAACACTCATGTTCATTGATGTGAGGACGATGGACACAGTGCCATTTCATATTTGATACCAATTGAGTGTGCTCAAGATAGAAGGCCAAAATTGTGATTGCAGATATGGAAAGTCCAGACAAAATAAAAAAGTGTAAATACCTACTGAATCTTAAAAAATTAAAACATACATATACTTAAATTCATAATAATAATGAACAAGGGTTTCATGAGACATGAGATACTAAAAAAACATGTTGCTGAATACTCATAATATTATTACAGTATGTAGCAAATGCAGCATAGCCTACCTATCAAATTGTGCATATATGGCCTATGTAATAAATTATATGCATACAGAACATCTATACAGAATACTAGCATATTATATTATATTATATTTAATGGTATATAATTCAATATGTTAAAGAACAAGAGAAAACACATGCCAAGAGGACTAAGATGCCTTTGAATCTTTGATAACCTCCACTTTTCAATTTAATAACCCTAGTTTCTCATGGTAACCCTAATCTCTTCATTTCTCCAGCTAACCCTACAAGGAAAAGGAAATTTAAAAACCAATATGAGGAAAGCAAAATGTTAAAGAGACACTCCTAAAAAATAGATTTCAGCCAACCCTTCAAGATCCCAAAAGGGAACTGATGAGGATGCACCAATTTTCCAGCATGATTGTCTTAAAATTTTACAAGAAAAACTTTATCCCTGTTTCAAGGTGTGAGTCGGTGTGTGTGGGTGTGTGTAAGTATTGTAAAAACATGGACCACTAGTACTGATTAAATAAAAACAAGCGGCCACAAATCGTAACAAATGGAAAAGTAAAGCTCTAAACAACAGTATCCTACCCCATACCAGCTGTGACAAGAAATCCTACGTTAGGTTTCAAGTCTGCTACCTCGACAGTTTCCTGTAGGCGTAATATCTAAAATCTGGAATCCAATATTCATTAATATCATGTGCAAGAGAAATTAAGGACTTCTATTTTTTGCTGGAAAAAGTTGGTAAAAACTGATATTTTCTGTCCATCATCAAGTTAAAATGGCCCGTTAATGAGCAGTAACAGTCTTTTTTTTTTTTCGGTAAATAAGCAGTAACAGTCTTGTTTATAATCCTTCAGAATTTTATATGGCAACATTCCTTATATCACTAGAAACTCAAAAGCTTAAATAATTGAAAGAAAATTTAAAAATATTTCTTCCTTTCATTAAAAAGGTCCTCACACATCCCAATGTAATGGAAATTGGCCCAATAAAGCATTCCACTTATTCAAGTTTCATTCCTTCATACCGAAAAATGCTTCCTAGCTATCACAATTTAACCAAAAACAAACATGGAACTTATTCACCGTGAGGTACAAATTTCAACCCTAAACACAAAATTCCCTTCCAGAGGGTTCAAACAGATTCGACCAAGAAATAAATCAAAAAGATAAAGTAGGGCATCCTTGGGAAGGGTTTTTACCATCCTTTCTCATCTCAGGGAGCAAACCAGAAGCATGCTTCCTAACAATCTCCAGATATCTATCCACTTCATGATCCCCAATGTTAAACATGACGGCAGAGCCATATTGAAATACAACCATGTAACGAGAGCAACTTGGGATTGTAAAGTCTTCCAAACCCTATATTAATAATCAAACAAAATAACTACTCGATAAGTAACTAGACTGATAGCTACCCAATATAACAACATACCACATTCAAATTAGTCCATGTCATGCACACATGATTTATACGGTAACACCAAATGATGATATCAGTAAATACGACATAAAATATAAATAACTGTAAAAAAATTTGATCCCATACTAGTAATGTTGCAGACATGACCATCAATCATTGCAGTACAAGCAGGGTTTGGCAACGACGATTGTTGTCTGTTAAGAGATGAATGTGCAATAGTAACCAATAAATGTGAAAAAATATTTTAAAAACTTAAAGATTGAATGTAAATATAGTCTACTAAAAAAAGCACCAATAATTCCAGCCCAGAGACATTACAGTATAAGTAATCGTGCTGAATATGAACTTCAACAATGGCAAGTTTATATGGTTGTGAATAAGTAGTCAGATCAGAACTGAAGTTGAAATTTTGGTGACCCGAACTTCCCTTAAGTTTGTCAAGAAAAAAAACAGAACATGAGGCTCATACCATGTTTATATTTTCTCCATTCAGGGTGAAATTAGAAACCCTTTTGCAATCCAATTCTCAATTGAATTCATTTTCAACATTCAAGAAAAATAAATAATTGGAGCTCATCGCCAATTTAATCTATTTTTATTAATTAAATTCAATTTTCTCCAACTCATTTTGTTAAGGTGCATGCCAAGGTGATTTTGCTGTCTGCCGTAGTGTGATACTCTGGATGCATGCACTCATGCAGTGAATTATCCCCTAATATGGCATGTAATGATGCAAAAGACATCTCCTATGTTTATTCCTCTATAGCAACTAGTTCTGTAAGTACAAAGAAAAATTAAGATTCTTAGTCACATTCTCTCTTTACTATATACACTTTGGGGCGCAAGGGTAAAGTTGCATTCCTAACATAAAACACTCAAGGCCTTTCTTTTTTTTATTTTAATCAGTGCTAAAGGCCTTTCAATTCCAAAGATTCTCATTTTCACTTTTGCAATATGATACACCACAAGAGTTTATGAATATAATTAGGAACACCAATCATAGAAGAGCCAATTATAGAAATTAGCTAATACATCAGCCTATGAACATAGTACAAAGAGACAGCTAGGTTTATGAAAATTTTATGAAGTTCTTCTACCATGTAGATGGGCCTCTGGGGTAACGGAAAAAGAGTGACACTATACATTTATTATAATATAAGTTTTACAAAAAACTCACGAGAAGTGAGTATGGGCATCCCACAAGTCGGGTGCTCTTACAAAAAATACATAGTAAGCAACCACAGAAGCTTCAGTTTAAAAAGGTGAAGAAAGAAACAAGAGAGATCAAAGGTGAGTAGAAGTGATAGTGAAGGGCGAGAATTTTTTATTTTTCTATTTTCTGTTGGGGGGCAGGTGGAGAAGAGGAATAAATAGGGGAGAGAGAGAGAGAGAGAGAGAGAGAGAGAGAGAGAGAGGAGGTAGT